CTGTGGCTCAAGTGGTAGAGTGCTAGCCTTGAGCTGAAGAGCTGAGGGACAGTGCCCAAGCCCAGAGTTCAGGCCCCACGACCGGACCCCAAAAAAAAACAACCAAAAAAAAAACTTAACACTCTACCACCTTGAGCCATAGCTCTACTTCTAGTTTTCTGGTGGTGAATTGGAGATAAGAATCTCATGGATTTTCCTGCCCAGGCTGGCTTTGAACCATGATCCTTAGATTTCAGCCTCCTGAGTAGCTAGGATTACAGGTGTGAACCACCAGCGCTCAGCTGGTACCCAGCCTTAGTCTGGGCATGTAACCTTCTTATGGTAGGCTTCCCCAGAAACTAAGCAGACAGGCACACAGTTCCATATCAAGCTCTTTATTGAGAAAGGGGGTCTTGTGAACTTTTTTCTTTTGGGACTGGCCTGGAACTGTAATCCTAACAATCTCTGCCTCCTGGGATTACAAACACTAATAGCTAGTAGTAGCTAGGATTACATGCCTGAGCCACTAGTGTCCAGCTGCCACTAACTTCTTAATAAACCTCTTTCCAGACTAATTCCATTTTCTTTGCTGTTTCTAGCTCTGGATGGATTCCAGATGGACAAGGTCGATGGAGAAAAGATGAAAATGTTGAGTTTGATTCTGATGAGGAAGAACCCCCTGATCTGCCCTTGGACTAACACCCTCTTTCCCCATTCATTTCACAAATAAACTCCGCTGAGCGCTGGGAGCTTAACTTTGCTACTGTTTGGTTCCATGTCCAATATCAGGACTTCAGAGCTACTTATTTGTACCTAGTCACTCCTTCCCTGCAATATACACAGCTCCCCATACTTCTGGCCCCTCCCCCACCGCCTACCAAAATCTTGCCAAGCGTCAGCTGCATGGAGCCCGGTGCCCTATTAATAAGTCTGTCAGAAAGAGGTCTTTGCCCTTCACATTGTCTGCTTCCTTCCCCACCTCCACTCCAAATCGTTCCCTCCTCAGATCACAGGAGAGATGTGGGTAGACACTGGGGCTTTCTGACTACATCTGGAAAAAGAATTGAGGCCAAGTACCAGGTAAAAGTTGAAAAGATTAAAGGGCACTGGCAGATTTATGGGGAACACCAAGAGAGGGAGCTCCCCCACCTCCTCTAAGTAACCTGAACCTCCCTGCCTGCTGATCCCCAGAGTATAAATAATCCCTTGATGAACTGGCAGTAACTCTTGGGGGTTAACGCCAAGATTCCCACCCAAAAGCCCAAGGAAAGAGGCAGACAGAATGGACAAAAGGGACTTTATTTACAGGAAAGCAGGAGAAGCGAGAATTTGTATCTCTAGGGTTCCTAGCTCTAGTTGGTGAAGGGAAGAGCGATGTTATCTCTTCTTTTGCTGGCGACCTGTAAAGGACAGAGTAATCATAAGTCTTTGTTTCCTTTCTTGCTTTTGGCAAAGGCGCTCCCCTCCTTTCCAGTTCCTTAGCCAGACTTACAGTGTGGTAATGTTTTAGGCCACCTGACAGCCCATCCCACATTAGCAGGACAAAATAGGAAACCACACAGAAAATAAAAATGCCTGCAAGGCAAGCGCTCTACCACTGAGCCACCTTCAAAAATAAATAAATAAAAATGCCATGCCTCCCACTAGGTATTCATGAATAGGTCTCCCTTCCTTCCTACCTCTCTGTTGGTATGTATCCAGGTTAGAAGGTTTTTCTGTCTACTTTGTGATCCTTCATGGGATTTGAACTTGTGGTATGAATATCTGTGGTAGCAACTCAAGCTGTTTCTCACTGTTTTCAGGAGGATCTACCAGTTCCTGGACTGCTTGTCCTTTGTCCCCTCACACAGGCTCTGTAAATACTTACGTAGTTCATTGTTCCGGGTCACGGCCTGGGCCGCCCGGGCTCGAGGCCCCTGTTGTGTAAAGTGGTAGCCAAAGCGGACAATAGAGGGACACTGCTCCAGCACGGTGGCCATTTCCATCTCCACTGCATCACCGGGCCACTGGCGCTGGAGGATACGGAAGGGAAGGCTGTCAGCCCTGAGGTCTGGGTTGCTCACCATCCCACACTACTATAGGCCCCTTTGGGAAGTCAGGAGGCTTGTTTGTTCAGAAACAAGAGAGATGCTGACTTAGCTCCCCTCATGGAGGTAATAAGAGAATTCAAACACATGATTAACTGAGCTAGTTCTGCTGGGTGTGCTGATGGCTCATGCCAGTAATTACAGCTACTTAGGAGGCTGAGATCTAAGGATCACAGTTGGAAGCCAGTCCAGGGAGGAAAATCTGAGACTTGGCTCCAATTAACCACCAGAAAACTGGAAATAGCACTGTGGTTCAAAGTATTATGGTATGCTAGCCTTGAGCAGAAAAGCTCAGGGACAGCACCCAGACCCTGAGTTCAAGTCCTACAGCTGACAAAAAAAAAAAAAAGCTAGTTCCTTCATGGCTGGGTCAGGAAGGAAGCTCAGTAAGTATTCCTTGAATGCTAAGACCAGGGGAAAGGCCGGGTGCCAGTGGCTCATGCCTGTAATCCTAGCTACTCAGGAGGCTGCGATCTGAGGATCAGGGTTCAAAGCCAACCTGGGTAGGAAAGTCCATGAGACTCTTATCTCCGATAAACCACTAGAAAACCAGAAATGGAGGCTCAAGCGGTAGAGCACTCGCCTTGAGCTGAAGAGAGCAGGGACTGTGCCCAAGCCCAGAGTTCAAGCCCCACAACAGACCAAAAACAAACAAAAAACCAGGGGAAAGGAACGCTGACCTGGTTGTCTACACGGAGCTCAGTGAGTGTGGCGTTTTCTCGAACTGCCTTCAGCACAGCCATGAGCCCTGTACTGCTAATGAAGTTGGACTCGATGTTCAGGCTCTGGAGGCTACGGTTCTCACGCAACATGTCAGCCACCGCCTGGGTAGTAGGGACTTGTGTTAGGATTAGGGTAGTTTCACAGATGACTGAGGAGAGAAAGAACAGGAGCAAGAGGGAAACAGCTCTTCAAGGACCCTTCTCAAAGAGTGCAGCTAGAAGAGACAGAAAGGGGTGAGGACCATAGGGGAGAGCAGGGAGATGAAGTGAGTGGTGGAGTTGGGGACCTTAATAGAGGATTGTGGTCCTTTGGGAAGATCATCTTAAACTTTCAGAGTTGTGGGCCATTAGGAACAAGGGAAAGGATCTCTGTGAGGGCTGTCCTAAGAAAGCATGCTGGGAGCAGCAGCCCTGCAGGGAGTACACATCCACTAGCCTTACATTGGCAATGGGGTCACCACTCCTCGTGGCCACCAGACTGAAGCTCCGGACGTAGGTATTGGTCTTCATCGCCTCACACAACTCACTCAGCATGGGGATTGGGATGTCCTATCAGAGGAGTATAGGAAATGATGACTAAAGAGTCTTCTATGTCAACAGCAGTCCCAGTGTTATTATTTGGAAGATTGGCGTCAAATACCTGTATATTATTGAGGTTCACCTCCTCCAGCTCCTTGTCATTGCTTCGAACCCTCTTTAGCATTTCCTCAATGTTTGTAGGATTTGGGGGTTCATCTGGCACTGGCTTATATTTATCAGGCTGTACCACACCTAATGGGTGAATGCAGAAAAGGAACCCCAACATGTCCCCCAAACCTCCCCAGTTGTTCCTCTTATCACCCCTGCACCATGTCCTCACCCAGATTTCTCTTTTCTATCCCTTGCTACCTTTTCTCTAACCCTGGGACTGCCCGCCCAGAGCCCTGGGGTGCGGACTTCCCCACCACACTCACTGCTAATGCCTTCAGTGTTGCAAATTTCTCCACTGCAGATGGCATCATAGTATTGCTTGTTGCTCATCAGTGTGTACATGCCCAGAATTGCTGGAAAGGGTAAACAGAGAGGCATGGAAAATGAGGGGTATGGGGCTTGGTCCAACCCTGCCTCCTACCTTCCTCTGATGTGTCTTTTTTTTTTTTTTTTTTACAGCCTGGCTAGCTTCCTCTCTTCCAGAGAGGTTTCTTTTTTTTTTTTTTAATTTTATTTTATTTGTGAACATACTGTACAGAGGGGTTACAATTACATGGGCAGGATAATGCGTACATTTCTTACCAAGCATTGCAGCCTCCTCCTTTGTTTACCCTTCACATCCCTTCCCAGCCTCCCCCCCAAAGAGGTTTCTTATCCTCCCTCAGTCCTAGGGGTCTGTTCCAAAAACTGCCTAAGACCGTGGTTTCTAAAATATTGAAATAAGAAGTTTCTTAAGAGTTACTAAAGGATGAGGGTAGTCTGCATAAATTCCCTGATTTTAACCAGAATATCTTCACTTGAATTTGCCTTCATAATCCCTATAAAATTGCTCTTGAGATACTAACTTATTACATTTAAGATGAATGGATATATAAGCAAACATTTAAAAAGGAAAAAAGTGCCAGGTACCAGTGGCTTATGCCTAGCTATTCAGGAGGCTTTTGATCTGAGGATTGTGCTTTGAAGCCAGTCCCAGCAGACAAACCCATGAGGCTTTTTTTTTTGGGGGGGGGGTCCGGTCATGGGGCCTGAACTCTGGGCCTGGGCGCTGTCCCTCAGCTCTTCAGCTCAAGGCTAGCGCTCTACCAGTTGAGCCACAGTGCCACTTCCGGCTTTTTTCTTTTTGCTTATGTGGTGCTGAAGAATCAAACCCAGGGCCTCATGCATGCAAGGCAAGTGCTCTACCACTATGCCACCTTCCCTGCCCTTTTTAATTTTTTAAATTTATTTTATTCTATTTTTGTAGGTCCTGGGGCTTGAACTCTGGGCCTGGGCGCTGTCCCTCAGCTCTTCAGCTCAAGGAAAGTGTTCTACCACTTGAGCCATAGCACCACTTCCGGTTTTCTAGTGGTTTATTGGAGATAAGTCTCATGGTCTCTCCTGCCCGGGCTAGCTTTGAACTGTGACCCTCAGATCTCAGCCACCTGAGTAGCTAGGATTACAGGTGTGGGCCACTGGTGCCTGACTACAGAAAAGCAGAAGTAGAAGTAGGCTCAAGTGGTATAGCTCCAGCTTGGAGTTTGGGCTCCTGTCTGAGGCTCTCTCAGATCTCCAGGCCTTCCCCATTAATTCTCCTTTAAGGGGAGGCTCTCCCTCTCATTTTCATTTTTCCACAGCTGCCCACCTGCAATGTCACACATTTCAGCATCTGTGGCATGGGCCAGTGCCTCTTCCAGCTCAGGCTCCAGGGTGATCTGTTCCTGTGCTGGGATTTCTCTCTTGGGTTGAATGTAGGGTTTCCCTGATGGGGAGATGAAGGATGCTTCAGGTAGGGATCATTTCTCCCAATATCCTTGCCTCCAGCTTCCTTTCTTTCTCTAGGAGGCATAACATTGGATTACTAGGGGGACATAGGAAAGCCTGAATCCTCCACAAACTTAGGACTCTTGGGTCCTAGGGTCTTTGAAAAAAACTGAAGATCTGAGATGTATTGGTGCATGCCTCTAATCCCAGCACTTGGGAGGTAGGAGCTGAGGTAGGAGAATCAAGAATCAAGCCCAGGACAGCCTGGGCTATGTAATGAGACCTTATCTCAAAACAAAATAAAATAAAACACACATATACACCCACCTACCCTCAAAACAAACAAAGAGTACAAGCTGGCATACAGGTGTTAGGGCACCTCAGTCCCTAGGCAAGTAGGAGCTATAAGGTAAGAGGGAAGCTGGAGGGGAAACATGAGAAAGTCATTTGATTTCTGAGCGGCATGGACATCAAGTCCCCATACCCTTCTTCTCGCCTGTGAAGGGCACCAAGTCATCACGCTCTTTGACCTCCAGTGCCTGTTGTTCCAGGTACTGCAAAAGGGCCTCTCGGTCCAGCGGCCCTGTTGGGCTCTTCTTTGTCTGGTCACGTTGTCTTAGTCCAGCTGGCAGGAGCATGTTCTTAGGGATGAGTTTTGGGGAGCAAGTCAGGTACTCTCTCTGGGTAGGAACTCTAGGGCTCCCTAAAACATCTCCAGATATTCACCCCTGTAGTTATCACTGGTCTCAGCCACCCTTCCCGAATGCCTGGTCCCCTGGGCCAGCATCCCTACCTCAGGGTCCATCTCCTGGAGCTCGCAGTCCAGCTTCTCTAGCTCTTCGGGGCTCAACGTCCTTAGGATCTCATCTTCATCTATATCTCTGTATTTCTCCAATTCCTTCTGATATGAGGACATGATGGCCCCCACCCACTCCCCACTGTGTGGCACTCAGAGCCTGGGGGGAACACGGGAAATGTATTTGAACATGGAAGGATGGACATGGACACAGTAGGGACCCAAAGTAACCAGCCAGGGGAGGATCACACAGTTAGATACCTTTTCAGGCTAGCAATCTAGTTGGAGATGGGGAAATGGGAAAGTTATGATGTTTTAAGTTAGAATTTGTCTCCTTCTTGCTTTTCTAACCTCTGGCTATTCTGGCCAGAGATCCCAGGATCTAAGCTGTATGGCAAAGAAATCCTGGCAGAACATCCCTTTCCCTACAACCTCACCCATCAGTGCCTCTCGGCCTAGCACAGCTGCTGGAAGCTCTGCCAGCAGAACTGGCTTCATGCCCAGTTCCTACTGAATATGGGAAGGGGGTGACAGAAAGCTACAGGGAAATTCTTCCTCTCTTCTCCCATTATTCAGCCTTTTTTTTTCCTGAACTGGTTAAAGGAAGGAAGAAACACTGGCTGGGTGAGTAGAAGTCTCTTATGCATTTCTACTTTTATTGTGGAGGATCAAGATTTCACTTTGTTAAAATTCTAAATCCTAGAGGAAAGCTAGGGCTCAGGAGCTGAGGGACTTCCAGGTTGGGGGAAGGGTCGTACAGCCTCAGAAGGGACCGAGTCCCCATAATCTGTCACCAGAAAGGTGACACCAGACCAATAGATAGGAAATAACCTTCTGAATGGAGTCATTTTACTAAAAACAGCACGAAGATTAAACTTATACAATCTTTCACAACATGAAAAATATACACTAGCACCACATGCATAATTTGAAGGATCCAAAGTGTATGAGACACAAGGACAACATAAACTATAGAGTTAAGAGACAGGACAGTAGCAGCAACATTCTCTGAGTGACAGGGACAGACACACTCTGTCACTCCAGGAGGAGCCCCTCTTCTTCCATCTCCCACCATAAACCCCCTCCTTCCCCACCTACCAGTTCTGATGGCCACTTCTCACCTCACCTTCCCGTCTATCCGTTGTTCTGTTTTCTGGGGCACTGTCCTGACAGCAGGAGGAGCCGGTGCCGGGGGAGAGGGTGGGGGAACAGTGAGCTCAGCATTTTATTATTTTAGCTCTGGCCAGGTGGGGGGTAGTGGGAGATCACATATACACAGCCCCCATACCCTGCCCAGCCCTGAGAGCCTCTAGTGGTCATCATCAGCTACGGCACCTCCTTTTCAGACAAGACCGTGTCCTAGAGTGGAATTTTGAGGTGTATCAGAAATTCCTACTAAGCAGGACACTGGTGGCTCATGCCTGTAATCCTAGCTACTCAGGAGGCTGAGATCTGGGGATCACGGTTCAAAGCCAGCATGGGCAGGAAAAGTCCATGAGACTTTTATCTCCAATAAACCACTCAGAAAACTGATAGTGGTGCTGTGGTTCAAGTGGTAGAGCGCTAGCCTTGAGCTGAAGAGCTGAGGGACAGCACCCAGGCCCAGAGTTCAAGCCCCATGACTGACAAAAAAAAAAATTCCTACTATTTGGTACTTGCCATATTCAAAGTAGTGAATAATAAGGTGACAAAAATGTTAAGTGTAAGGATTTCATAAATAGAAAAAAAAGCTAGTTTTAAGGTATTTTATAGCATAATTGGAGGAATGAATGAATATAATTTAAAAAGGACAAGCCTGGCACATGCATCCTTAACCCCAGCGTTGGGACACTGAGGCGAGAAGACTGCTTGAGCCAGGAGTTGGAGACTAACCCTAGGCAATCCAGCAAGACCTAATGTCAGAAAAGAAAAAGATAAAAAAGGATAATTCGTAATAAATACTATCCAAGAAATATAAACACATAAACTGGTGACAATTTAGAAGTAGAGCTACTTGCTTAGCAAGCACGTGCTGCCAGGTTCAATCCCCAGCACACATGGCACATACCACACACTTATATACTTCTTGTTCCCAACTCTAGATTAGACATCAGACAAAAATAAATCTTTCTGTTTTATTAGATTAAAAAACAACAAAACCAGAAAGAACTAGAAGAAAGGTGGGAAAAGAAATACAGAAGAGGACTGAGCAAGTTATCAGAAATGACAAAGGGAAAAAACAAAGAAAGGGAAGGGAAGGAGAAAAGTCAAGAGCCCCAGGTTAGGGCCGGAAGAGGTTTCTAGGGACTAGACATCTGTTCATTTGATGACGATTTTCTGACGTAAGGCTCGGGGCCCAGAGCCAGGGAGGGGCTCAGGAGGGGGGGGGCCAGGGCCTAGGGCCGAGGCAGTGGGAGGTAGTCCATGGGCAGTGATATACTTCTTGTAAGCTTCACGGATGATCTTGAAGGCTCGAGCAGTGGCATAGGGTATATCTGTTACAGGGTCCCGGTATAGGGCTGGACGGTGGGTCACTGGGCAAACCTCCCGAACTGGGACCTTTGGGGGTCGCCCTTGGGGGAACCATTCTTCAAATGTTGCATCATCACTGAATGTGATGAAGGTACGTGAGCAGCGAGCAGGAGGGATGACAGGTCCACTCCCAGCATGAGGAGTCAATGCAGAAGCTGAAGGAGCTGGATCAAGTCTGAGGGCAAAAGACAAACACAAAGAGTTGAGGAGAAGACAATGGATAGAGAAAGAAATCAGAGCTGAAGAAAGAGAAAGGATGTAGACTAGTGAGGATATCCTTAGATAACCTACTAAATGGTATAAATGAGGGGAAGAAATGAGGTTAATAAATAAAGTAGGAAGCCAGGCGCTGGTGGCTCACGCCTGTAATCCTAGCTACTCAGGAGGCTGAGATCTGAGGATCAGGGTTCAAAGCCATCCCGGGCAAGAAAATCCATGAGACTCTTATCTCCAATAACCACTAAAAAACTGGAAGTGGTGGTGTGGCACATGCAGTAGAGCGCTTGCCTTAAGCTGAAGAGCTGAGGGACAGTGTCCAAGCCCAGAGTTCAAGACCCGGGACCGACCAAAAAAATAAAAAAGAAAGAAAGTAGGAGGGCTAGGAAGGTGGCTCAGTGGTAGAGCACTTGCCTTGCATGCATGAGGCCCTGGGTTCGATTCCTCAGCACCACAAAAACAGAAAAAACTGGAAGTGGGTGCTATGGCTCAAGTGGTAGAGCACTAGCCTTGAATTGAAGAGCTGAGGGACAGCGCCCAGGCCCAGAGTGCAAGCCCCACGACGGACAAGACAAAAAAAAATAAAATAAAATAAAGTAGGAAGTAGTGCTGTGGTTCAAGGGGTATAGTACTAGCTTTGAGCACAAAGAGGCAGCAAGTAAGCCCTGAATTCAAGTCCCATAACCAAAAAAAAAAAAAAAAAAAGTAAAACCAGTAGCTGGATGCCAGTTGCTCATGTTCATCATTTTGACTACTCAGAAGGCTGAGATCTGAAGAACAGGATTCAAAGCCAGCCCAGACAGACAAATCCTAGAGACAAGATCTTATGTCCAATTATCCAGTAATTCAGTAAAAAGCCAGAATAGGAGATGTGGCTCAACCAGTAGAGAGCAATAGTCATGAACAAAACAGTTAATGGACAGCTCAAGTTCTGAAGTTCAAGCATGAGCATTGGTGAAGTACATGTGCATGCATGCAAACACACACATACACATACACACACACACACACACACACACACACGAAAATAAGAGAGAGGTAAAGAGAAAAATAAGGTACTGAAAAGAGGACAGAATCTGAGAAGTATGAGAGAGCTGTGAGGAAAGCCAGTGACATTTAATCAAGACGACACAGTTGATGACTGACTCACCCCTCTACATCCACATTCTCTTCTTTGGGGCCTGGCTCCCCAACCAGTGGCACTGTCACGGAATGATAGGTGATTATGGGCCCGGGACACTTCCGTTTCTTATGAACCTGTTTCTTCTTGTCAGCCTCAAGCCTCTCATATGTCTCTTCAGGGACAATAAGAAGATAATTAGTTTCTCTTTTTCTCACACTCTGGTCCAAATTTTCTTCCTGGCTTCCCATCTACTACAAGGCAATGGGTGGAAGTTCTAAGGTACTCTAGTACTCCCTGCTTCCTGAGCGCTCTGCTTACCCCTCCTGACATCATCTCCATTCTCCTTTCTCAAATACACTTGGGGCCTTACTCACGCAGAATTGGAATAAGAACTGTGATAAGGAGAAAACAAAATCTGCTCTACAACTGCCCTGGGTCAACCTGCTTCTAGCCAAAACAGCCCATTACATCATTAAGAGTCCTTTCCTATTTTCAGCTGAAAATGCAATTCCCAGTGAGCAGTTTTATCTTTTAAAGCCATAAAGGGCACCAGTCTAATCTGGCTTATTACTGTCCTTCAAGTAGTTGAAATGGGTACCACGTTTCCATCAAGACCTCTCCAGGCTCAGCACCCATTCCACAGAACCATTCCTCATACCACAAGGATTTGTCACCCACTCAATTATGCTACCCCTTTGTCTTTTCTACTACCCTTCTGTTAAAACTGTGTTTACCACAGTTTATGGCAAGCCAGACCACTCAAGTGTTTGATGTGTATAGTGTTTTTTTTTTTTTTGTCTATCATAGGGCTTGAACTCAGGGCCTGAGCACGGTCCCTGAGCAACTTTGTTCAAGGCTAGGGCTCTACCACTTTGAGCCACAGCTCCACTTCCAGTTTTTGAGTGGTTAATGGAGTGGGGACTTTTCTGCCTGGGCTGGCTTCAAACCATGATCCTCAGATCTCAGCCTCCTGAGTAGCTAGGATTATAGGCATGAGCCATCAGTGCCCTGCAAGACATTCCTTTTCAAGTCACTTTAATCCCTGTGGCTACTCTATACATTACATGCCTGGACCATGGCAGACTATATTGCATATCTATCTATCTATCTATCTATCTATCTATCTATCTATCTATCTATCTATCTATCTATCTATCTATCTATCTATCTCTTCCAGGCAGAGACTGTGACTCATTATTAGGATCGTGCAGCATCATATACATTCTGGGCACTCAATAAGTATTTGTTAATAAATCAAATTATTCCTGGCCCCTTTCCTCAAAATGAAGTCTAAATTTTTGTGTCTGGCTTTTTTTTTTCTGTCAGTCCCTGTGTTTGAACTCAGGGACTTACACTCTTTTTGGATTGCT